CCAACAGTTACCCAACAAGATCGCCAACAGTTACCCAACAAGATCGCCAACAGTTACCCAACAAGATCGCCAACAGTTACCCAACAAGATCGCCAACAGTTACCCAACAAGATCACCAACAGTTACCCAACAAGATCACCAACAGTTACCTAAAAAGATCACCAACAGTTACCTAAAAAGATCACCAACAGTTACCTAAAAAGATCACCAACAGTTACCCAACAAGATCGCCAACAGTTACCCAACAAGATCACCAACAGTTAACCAACAAGATGTTGGCTAACAGGGCTAACACATTAATAACTCAAGAAAAAGAAGATGTTAAATATCTGTGATAAACAACTGAAGACACTAAATGAGATGTTCATTATCATGAAATCTGTTTTTGTTTTTGAGCTGAACTTTGTTGGATTTATGACCCGTTAAATCTCTCCTCTGGTGAACATTTGTTACAAGAAACCAGAATAATGGGAGAAATAGTTCACATTACAGATAAAATCAGTTTGTTCAAAACAAGACAAACGAAAACTAATAATTGTTTGTCTTTGTTTATATTTCAAACCCTGAAGTTTGAGTTTAAACTCTGCTTATTTACAAGCAGGAAATAATTGTAATTATTGTTAAATAGTAAAACTGAAAACAGACTGGTGAGAATTCTTCCTTTTAAGTCCTTATTTTCCATCCTAGTTTTAAAATCCTGTTTTAAACTATGTGAAGTATTTGTCCTGCAGCATCCAACAAACTGACGTCAGAGTTCGTCTCTGGTGGGAAAAAAAACTGAGTCAAAAATTAATTTATCATTTTATGCTCTGGTTTGTTCAGACTCGTTACAGCAGCCTGCCGACTAAACAAAAACCTCAACGCAAAAAGATAAACTCAAGACTAAATAAATAAAATAATAAATGTAATAATTAGTTTTACAGAAAAGGTTGTTTTAATAATGTTTCTTATTTAGACTTGATGTTTTAACTTTATAGCTGTCAAAGAATATACTTAAAAAAATTAATTAAGTTTTAATGACTAAAACTAAATTTTAGCCCAAATATAATTGTTCTTTCTCCATATTTGACGTTAATGAGAACATGTCTGCCTCCTAGTGGTGTGGCATGACTACTGCAGTTTTTTGTTTTTGTAAATGTGAATGAACGCAAACAAATTAAACAAAAATGATTAAAAATCACACGAAGTCTTGAAGATGGGCATAAATATATATAAAAACAAAACAACCAAGATTTAAAAACTTATTTACATTTCCCTATAGGTTTTACTGAAATATTTTTGACAACCAAAGACAGACACACTTGTTTTTCTGGCAGAAAAACACACAGCTCCATATTAAAACACAACACTCACCTGAGGGAGTTCACCTGTCCTGGCACAAACTTACCTTTATCTGATTTACATAAGTTGGTCCTTGTAATATTGGAGGAATTTCCACACGTTCCATTTAAAAACTGTTAAAACAACATAATTTATATAAATATGTATGTACTGCACATGTGTGTGTGTGTTTATATATAAACA